TAAAAACAAGGCTTGTTTGTTCGTTTTGCTAGTTCTTTATGTATTCTAGATGCAAGTCCTGTAACACTTCTGTGATTTGCAAATATCTTCTCCCAGCAATGTGGGTTGTTTTTGCACTTTCTTTATAGTGTTTCACAGAGCAAAACATTTTAAATTATGATAAAGTCTAATTTAGCAATTTCTCTCAAAATTGTGCTTTTTGGTATGGTAGCTAAGAAATTATTGCTTACCTAAGGCAGTAAAGATTTTCTCCAGTTTTCTTCTAGAAGTTTTATACTTTAAGCTTCTACACTTAAGTCTGTTACTAATTTTGGATCAGATTCTGAACTCAGAGCGGTGTGAACTGCGGTTTGCTCTTTTTGCATGCGGATATGGATGTGTCCCAGCATCGTTTGTTGAAGGACCGTTTCTCTCCATTGCATTACCTCTGCTCTTTTGCCAAACCAGTTTACCACATATGCGCAGGTCTGTTTCTGGCTTTCTGACTGTTCCCTGCCAGATGCACTTGTCTCTTCCTCAATCCCACGCTAGCCTGGCTCCACAGCTTATGGTATGTGGGAGATCAGGGGTTGGGAGTCTTCTAACCCTGTTCTTCTTTCCAGATTTGTCTCTGCTCTCTAGCTCCTTTGCCTTTCCATGTAAATTTTGCAATCAGTTTGTTGATTTATATAAAAATATGCTGGTGTTTTAGTTGGATTGTATTAAATCACTAGAATGTTTTGGGGAGGACGGTCATTTGCCAATCTTGAGTCTTCTGGCTGATGTGACATATCCTCTACTGACTTAATTTCCTTTCCCATGGGTTTTGTGGTGTTTCCATGTAGGTCTTGAACATGCTTTGTAATGCTCACCCTAAGTGTTTCAGATGTTTTGCTGTATTTATAACTGCAATTTAAAAACTCTTTTTGTATTTTCTGAGGTAGGGTCTCACTATGTAACCCAGGCAGGCCTTGAACTCGTGATCCTCTTGTCTCAGTCTGCCTAGTCTGGGATTGCAGGCTTGTGCCACCACACCCAGCTAAAAATTCAATTTCTAATTTTAATTGGTAGTATACAGAAGATAGATTGATTTTGTATACTGATTTTGTGTCACAACCTTAATAAGTTCACATTATTTTAGTGGCTTTTTTTTTTTTGGTGATTTTTCTCTGTAAATAGTCACATTGTTAATAAAGGGAGGTAATTTTTTCTCTGCAATCTCTTTATTTATTTTGCCATGATGGGGATTAAGCCCAGGTCCTCGCTCATGCTAGGCAAGTGTTCTAGCTCTGAGTTACACCCTGGCCCTTTCTTCCCAATCTGTATGTAGGCTTTTCCTTTCATACCAATTAGTATGATGTTATATAGGAATGGAGAGAGTTGGCATCTTTTCCTTAGTCCCAGTCTAAGGGGGAAAAACATTCAAACTTTCACCAGAAAATATGACATTATTAAGTCTCTCACAATTACGTATCCTGATGGCTATAGAGTTTGGAGATGCCTTTTATCAGCTTGACAAAAGTTCTTACTATTCTTAGTTTCCTGAGAGTTTTATTGTTTTATTTTGGTAGTACTGGGGTTTGAATTCAGGGTCTTGCACTTGCTACCATTTGGGCCATACCTCCAGCCCCCAGAGTTTTATTTTTTACCATAAGAAGATGTTGAATGTTGTCAAAAACTTTTTATGCTTCCATTGAGATGATTTAATCTGTTGATTCAGTGACTTACATTGACTAATTTTGGATTATTGGATTATCATTTGGATTATTGAATTATCATTGCATTTCTGAGTTATGATAAATCATACTTATGATAATTTTGGGTCTGACATGCTAGTATTTTGTTAGAGATTTTCAAAGCTATATTTATGGAGAATGTTAGTTTGGAATATCCTTTTCTTTTTTTTTTTGTCTGGTTTTGATGTATAGTTAATGCTGGACTTCTAAAATGAGTTGGGAAGTGCTCCTTTCTTTTGTATGTTCTTGAATACTTTGTGTGGAATCAATATTATTTCTTCTTTGCTGTTTGGGAAAATTTACCTGTGAAATCACCTAGGCCTGGAGTTTTCTCTGTTGGAAGGTTTTAAACCACAGATTCAAGTGAAAAAATAGATATTCAGGTTAAGACAGAATTGTTTGTAGTATTTATTTTTTAGTTTTTTTAAAACCTCTGAGGGTAATGATCTCTTTTCCTTGTTCAGTCTAAATATACACTTATCACTTATATTTCTATTTTTAGTTTTGCTGTTTTTTAAAAATTGCCTTTCTTTTTTAACTTTCTTTTTCTTTTGTTTGTTTTCTTTCTTTTTTTTTTTGTGTGTGGAGGCTCAAACCCAGGGCCTCTGGGGCATGAGGCAAGTGCTCTAATATTGAGATACACCCATCCTGATTTCTTATCTTTATTATTTTCTCCTTTCTGTTTGCTTTAGGTTCAATTTCTTCTGATTTGAGTTCTTTTTTCTTTTCTACTATCCGTAATTAGAGCCCTATATACACAGCCCTACCAAAACTGTATCCCCCAAATTTTGATACTTTTTGTTTTCATTCAATTCTAAATATTTTCTCTGTGATTCCTGTGGATGTTTTAAAAGTATATTGTTTAATACCTTAGAGGTTTTCCAAATGTCTCCCTATTACCTGTATGTGCTTTTCCTTTATTATTGTCCTGGGACATATTTTAAGTAAGAATTCTCTCTTTAGATTTCTTTTCTCCCAGGCCTTCAAGCCAAGGGAGACTCTCTTGGGATCCCTCCACCCTTGTTCCCAATTTTCCCTGTGTGACTTTGGTGAGGGGGATTTGCAGAGAAGAACCTGCCAGGGGTGTGAGTTCTTCCCGTGTCTGTGGTGCTCAGCTTCTATTTCTCACATTTCTTCATACTCGGCCTTTAACAATAAGTGTGATGTATCAGCTGGATTCTTCTTATCAGTACTTCTAATGCAGCCTCTGGAGTACTTTCCCTAGTGCTCAGTCCTTCCTCTTCTGGGAGGTGCCCGGCATTCCCTGGATTTCAGGTTACTTGACAACCTGTAAACTTAAAACTCTACTGGGTTTAAAAACACAAAAATGGCCAGTTTTCAGATTGCTTGATTTCTTTCTTTTCCTTCCTTCCTTCCTTCCTTCCTTCCTTCCTTCCTTCCTTCTTCCTTCTTCCTTCCTTCCTTCCTTCCTCCTTCCTTCCTCCCTCCTCCCTCCCTCCCTCCCTCCTCCTTTCTTCCCTCCCTCCCTTTTTTCTTTCTTTCCTTTCTCTTTCCAGTGCTGGGGATCCAATGCAGGCTTTGTACATGTGAGGCAAGAGCTCTACCACTGAGCTACATTCTTTGTCCTTGGGTTTTTGAGACAGGTCTCAGTCTGTAGCTCAGGCTGGCCTCATACTTGTGCTCTTCTTGCCTTCAGCCTCCTGAATGCTGGGATTGCAGGCATGTGCCATCCTGCCTGGTTCTGCTTGGTGAGTTTTGATTATGGATGTACGAAGAATGCTCTTTTCCATCTTTCTGCAATCTCTAGAAGAGTTCCCTCCCCTTCCCTTCTATTCCCTCCCATTCCCTCCCGTTTTCTCCCCTTCCCTCCCCTCCTTTCCCCTCCCCTTCCCTTCCCTCTTTCTTTTTATAAACTGTTCATAACTCTTATCCATTTTCCCCTGATGTTGTTTTTTTCTACTATATCTTCTACTTAATGAATTATCTCTTTAGATTTTCTAAATCCATTCACTGACTCTTTTTTTGGATTTGTTTGGCCAATTGTCAATTAGTTTTCTGTCTTCCTGCAAATTTTTTAAAGCTTGCATTCTATTTCTTTAAAGAAAGAATGCTTAATTTTTAAGATAACCTAACACCATAATTTACATACGCTGCCTCTGCAGTCTGCTTTCTGCTGGGTGCTGTTTCTGTTATTTTTACTCTGTGCTTTGCTTACTTGTCTGCTTGGAAATTTATTTTTTACTGTAATTTGCAAAGTTTTAATGGATGATTATTTGTAGTGTTTCTTTGAGGTCTAGGATAAGTGTCCAGAAAAAGTGTGTTTACTTCTTCATGCTGAAGGATGTTACTGGCACTTGAAGCTCCTCCGAAAGCTGAATTTATTGTTGAGATTATTTGGACCATGCAAATGTCTGAAAATCTGACTTGTGGCTACACTTTTTTTGTGATAGAATTGCTACTTAGGTTTTTGGCTCTTGCTCTCCTCTGTACTAAGGGAGCTTCTCAGGTGGTTCCCTGGGAACATGAGAATGGGTTGGGCTTATTCCTGTTTTGTACTTACCTTGAGGGTATAGAATTTTGGGTTCCCAGCTCATGGGAAGAGCTCCACTGTTAGACTTCCGATGTTAGCTTTGGGCTTTTTCTTCTCTCTCATGTCTCATGAGACTGAGAAACTCAAGATGGAAGGTTTTTTTTCTCTTTTTTATTATCATATTATCGTACTGGGGATACATTTACAAAAGTGCTTATAG